GTGTGTGTGTGTGTGTGTGTGTGTGTGTGTGTGTGTGTGTGTGTGTGTGTGCATGAACGGTTTAAAACCTGTGATGGCATCCCTACGTGTTATCCTGTGTAACACAGTCTTGGTCCTCATTATCATTTCTCCCTGGGCCTGTTCTGGTGTTCAGAGCCCCACCAGAGGGGCCTTTGGCTCGGTGGGAGAGGTGTTGGAGGCGGCCTGGCCCCGCTGTGCTCCTTCCTTCCCCCTCCACAGGGTGCCAGGCACAGCGTGTACCACTGGCAAGCCAAGCCTGACAATGAGGCTGCCTGCACAGCCAACGCCATGTTTGAACAGGGCAGGGGGTTGCCACGTCATGCTGAACACACACTTGCAGGAAGGCCTGCTTGAACACACAAATACACAAATACGGTCACACACATCTCCACAAGGCAGACTCCTGGTGGGTTCAACACATGTTTGGAAGATGCTACAGTGGTGAAGGCGAGTGTGTGGAGTGAGTTTGTGCAGGAGATAAACATCACAGATGCTTTAAAAACTGTAGGTTCTATTGAGATTAAATGGAAGAATTTTGCTGACTTGTTTGGCTTTATGGCAGATTTAGAATAAAATATGAGGCAAACAAAATCCACATTATATGCAATAAAGGGTTAAATCTTTTTTTTTTTTAAGTTTGAAATAAAAAGTGACTGCAGTTCAGTGTTTTACTAACTTCACTCTGTCATCCTTGATGCAGTAATTCAGTCTCCTCCTCCCCCTGACTTCATAGTTTCAGCATATTGCGTGTTCCACATTAAGTTTTGATTCAGTCATATGTTCAGCTCTCAGGTGTGCTTCTGAACCATGAAATATTAAATGTGTGAATTCAAGGAGATGTCACATTCTGTGTTTCATCCATTATGTACACCTACACTACTTTGTTGACTCTTTGAATTCTAATAGGTATGGATAGGAAGTAATGCAATCGTTATGTTGGCATTACAACTTGTGCTCAGCATCTGTTTAGTTTGTAAACTTTTTCGCAGTTATTTTTTCAGTTGTTGTCTAGACGAAAACGAAAATCTGGTGAATGTTAAAATGTTAAAAGAGCATTAGGAAGGCATCCTAAAAATGTAGCTGTGTGAATATTGGCTTGAAATGTGTTAACATGTGAGCGAGTGTGTATCTATGTGTGAATGTGTTTACACGACCTCCTCCTTCTCTGCTCTTCTCTCTCTAAGTGTCACATCTCTTCTCGAAGCCGTCCGTGGGAGTCAATCCCACTCAGTCCCAAATAAAGTAGGGCCACTGGTAGATATTAAACAGTGATACATGCACAGGAAAGGGCGTAACTGTTCTGAAACCAAGACAAAATCCACGATGCAAATGTCTGTGGTCTCCAGTGTCGCACACCCTCCAATATAAGCATATCCAGACGCATACAGATCACTGTAGACGTACATGTATGAAGAAAACTCATGTGCGGTTAAAAATATTGCCAGACCAGTATACAGCACTGGCAGTTCTGTGCCAAGCTCTTGAGCTACCCCTGGAGACTCATTTCTTTGTATTTGGAAGAAAAATGGGAAGTAAGTGCAGCAATTTACTGCAACGTGCAATTTAACATAGTGTATGATGAAAAAACAGTGTTTCTAAAATTCCAACAAGCTTAAAAGTCAATGTTTGGTATGACCTGAAGATTAATTCTTCATCACAGCCTGAACTCACTTAGGCCTTTCTTAAGTAATCTTAAGATGTAGTTCTGCTGTTTTCTTTGAATGACCTTCAAAGCTTTTCTTTGGATGTTGACTGCCCATTTCCCATTGTTCCATTGTTTTCTATCCAGCTATGCTTTTACTGCATTTGTAGTGCGTTTGGGCAGCGAAAAAATAAGCCATTGTCAATCAGAATCAATCCAGATGGTACTTAACGATCGATCACAGTCTGGTATTACTTTACTTAAAGAAAGTAAAAAACTTTGAAAGACCTTCAGGGAGGTCTGCACAAGTATTGCTCAAAACGACTTTAAAAATCACAAGAAAGTCTGATTCATTGGACGCAAAATATAATGAAATGAGCGGTGGCTCAAGACTTTTGCACAGTAACATGACTGAGTTCTTTAATTTAGCTCCACTTAAAATAACGTGTCCACCGAGCACACTTCAAAACAAGCAACTTTGCTTTAGAGGCAAAGTTTTTCTATTTCTGTCTCAAAATCATGTAGAAGTCGGTCAATAAAACTGAATTATATCTCTTCATTCGGGCAGAAAAGGCTATTGAGGAACAACAAAGACAACTGAAACAACTCCAAAATTACACATGATTATACAAGATGCACTGACATGTAGTCATGACTCTTAGTGCACCTCTGTTTAAAAACAATAACACCCCTCTGAGTCTCCCACCAATCTCAAACTCTCCGTCACTCTCCCAGGCAGTCAGGGGCGACGGGGAGCTCAGAAGGGAAAGGGATTGGGTTACCGTGACATAAATCTCCCCGTCTCCTTCTCCTGGAGGTGGGCAGCAGGGCGATGAGGCTCTTAGCGTCAGTGTCTTTGGGAATGCCGGCATGTTCCCTGGAGGAGATAGGGGAGATAGGCTTGGCGCCTCCAGAGGAGTCTTTCACCCTCTCTCTCCCTCCTTCTCTCCCTTTCTCTTTCTCACTCTCGCCATCTCTGCTTATCTCAAAAAAAAAACACAATAGGGTTTTGTACACTGGAGCAAAGCAGGGAGGCTTCAGATGGCAGCCGAGTATGATATTCAGGAGGACAGAAGGCTAGAGAATCACTCTCTGTTCCACACAATGATACAATACAATGCAACACACAACACAATCTCTAATGAAAGCAGCAGAGATTCCTGTTCACCTGGCATTTACTACATACAAACCGCCTTTGCTGTGCATGTTCATAAGCAAGATGACTTTTAAATATTTTTTAAAAAGAAAGGAATGATTCTTTTGGTGTGCATGTTTACCTAAACTGTTATAAAATCAATGTAGTGACATGTCAGTTCATAAAAATAGCTGTTGTTACTAGCTGAACGGTAAAAAGGGGGGTAGGACTGGCCACATGAGGACCACACCAGGTACCAGCTAAGCAATGAGAAGTTAGATCTGGCTCGGTAAAAACGTGCAAACTAGTCACCTTTCATGCAGTCGGTCTGTTTGCTGCTGTTTGAAGGAGGACAGGAGGTCAAAATGGTGATGACACACAAAGCACATTGGCTATCATGAACTGCTGCCCACAACAGGACATGTCTGTGTCAAATCTGTCACAACACGATGGGACCGAAGTCCATCGCATTTCTGCAAAGAACACGCTTCAGCTCGTTCCATTTACGACCGCGTGGCGCAATGTGGCACAACCTCAATCTGGTAATAAATATTTTCAGCTCGCTTTCTATGAGACAATGAAAGGCTGTTGTGTCATGAGTGTCTCAAGCTTCACGCGTCACAAAGGTCAAGCTTTATCAATCTACAGAATACTGCCGGCCAATTATATGGAGCTCACCGTAAATCTTATCATCTGTAGGTTTCACAACCTTGATGAGTCCAGAGGCCAAAGGCTGTGCCCTTTCTTGTATTTACTTAGGGCAGGTAAATTGGAGAGCCAGCAGCTGTAATGGAAAATAGCCTTGGAGACACTTGAGTGCCCGAGACAAAGAGAATAGCAATTATTCTGGAAAATCAATTTTCAACCCAATCTTTCTCCCTTATCGACCGCAGAGAAGGTGACAGGAAAATTTATACCTTGGACTGTATTATGAGCTCTATTTGCTCCTGCAGAAACACCTCTTATTTTTCTTGACATTTGACTGCAGCTGAGTATACCCACCTCTGCTGACTTACTCCTTTTGTTAATGTATATTTTTTAACCTTCTAGAAGCTCATTCATTATTACTGTTTTAATGTGCTAATAGAAATCATATTGGTTTCATGGTTTAAGAATAGGGGAAGCATGAGTTAGATCCATAATTTGTTTTAGTTTTGCCTGTATATCCCACCACACAGGATTTTAAATCAATCAAGGCGCGATTAAAGTATAGACTTTCAGTCGTAACTGCAAGAAGGTTTTTGCAAACATACTGTATTAACTGAATTACAGCTTTTTTTGTACGTGGATCAGTACATTTTCATAGGCTTAAAATTAAGGAGACAGTTGACTTAGAAGCAGTTTAATGGGTGTGCCAAGTTTGTATTCTGTAGCTTTTAACTGCAATTTTAAATATGAGGCAAAAGAAATGTGAGCGAGGCCATTATCAGGTTAAAATATAAATAAAAGATATCTAACTTTAAGAATTGTGAAATCAACGGCCTATCACGTTCTTAAAGAGAAGGAATGTGCTGGTCTGCTCAACAAGATCAAAAGGCCTGAAAACCAGCAGAAGACAATTAAAGTTTATGATGACAGAATTATTTCCATGATTGAAAAAAAGCAAATTCACAATGTCAAGAAAATTTGCAAGGAAATCACGCTCCACAATCCTTTGTGGACAAAAAATAGGGGGTGTACAACAAGGTGAAAACCAGTGGTTACGTTCAAGAACAGGAAAATGAGATTAGACCTTTCCAAAAAACACCTGAAAAATCTTTCAAAGGCTCTGGAGAGATAAAACCAAGATGAACTTATAAAGAAACACATGGGGAAGAATCACATCACATCATGGGTCAAACATGGTTATGACATGGGCATGTACTGTATCATTGCCAGTGGAACCAGGTGACCAGTGCTTAAATATCTTTAACGGGGTTGATTTGACTGCTGATAGAAGCAGCAGGATGAATTGTAAGTGTATGGATTTTCACTCTCTGCTCGGATTGAGCAAAATGCTGTGAAACTGCATTGTGAAACAGATAATGACCCTAAGCATACTGCAAGAAAACCCAAGAGTTTCAGAAGGCAAGGTCAGTCACCTGATTGCAGTTCAATAGGGCATGCTTTTCAGTTACTGAATACAGAAAGACCAACAAATAAGCAGCAACTGCATCCTGCCAGAGCTGCTCAAGAGAGGAAACACAGCATTTGGTGATGTTCATGGGTCCTAAACATCAGGCAGTCCCTGAGCACAAAGGATTTACAAGAATTAAGAACAACCCTTATATTTAAAATTATGTTTGTTTGTTTAATTACATTTGAGCCTCTGGAAACAAGGGTGCATGTATAAAAATGGCTGTAAATCCTTAACAGTTCATCTGCAATGTTTGTTAAACCCCTTGAATGAAATCTGAAAGTCTGCATATTAATCAGTGATTTAAAATGTAACGTGATGGTGTTGTTGTCTTTATCCAACAAATTATGGACCTAACTGTATTTGACAAGTAAATCTCCAAAGAAAATGATATCTAAGCTGTAGGTGCTGCTGTTGCCTATGTTTTCCACGTGTGTCTGTTGGTCCGAGCAGGCTCACAC